TTATATCTCTTCTTCTAATAATAGTGATATCACTCTGTTTGAAGAAAATACCAACACCATCAGCTCTATTTTCTCCTACAGACACAATATACCTTTCCCCTTTGTAATAATAATAATAATAAATTCAATTTATAAAGCACCTTTCATTGCTAACAGCAATCCCAAGGTGCTACAGGAGGCATAATAAAAACAAACAAAATAAACAAAAGTCTTAATCAAAAGCTTTTTTTAAAAGAAAGGTTTTTAGGCCTTTCTTGAAGGCGTCAGTGGAGTCCTCAGGTGGTCAGTGGAGTCATCAGGTGGTCAGTGGAGTCATCAGGTGGTCTGTGGAGTCCTCAGGTGGTCTGGGGAGTCCTCAGGTGGTCTGTGGAGTCCTCAGGTGGTCTGGGGAGTCCTCAGGTGGTCTGTGGAGTCCTCAGGTGGTCTGAGGAGTCCTCAGGTGGTCTGGGGAGTCCTCAGGTGGTCTGGGAGGGAATTCCACAGGCGAGGAGCTGCTGCACAGAAAGCCCGATCCCCCATTGTGCGGAGTTTGGTCCTCGGGGGCGAAGCAGATGGTTGGTTGTGGAGCGGAGGTTGCGTGTGGAGGTTTGAGATGTGAGAAGTTCCTTCAGGTATGGAGGAGCGTTCCCGTGGATGCACTGATGGGTCAGTAGTGAGATCTTGTATTCGATCCTGAATGAGACAGGAAGCCAGTGGAGGGAATGAAGAACGGGTGTGATGTGGTTGTATTTTCTCACCCTCATCAGGATCCTAGCGGCACTGTTCTGTACATATTGGAGCTTCTGAAAGCTCCCGCTAGGAGTCCCGATGAGGAGAGCGTTGCAGTAATCGAGCCTTGATGAGACGAAGGCATGGACCAGTTGTTCTCCATCTGACAGGGAGAGTGTGGGACGGAGTTTTGCAATGTTCCTGAGGTGGTAGAAGGAGGTTTTGCACAGGTGTTTGATGTGGGTGTCAAACGTCAGATGTCTGTCAAATCTTACACCCAGGTTGGTAACTGCTGTGGAGAGGGGTATGTTTTGTCCAGAAAAGGTAATGTGGGTTATGGGGGATGACTGGACCTGGTTTGGTGTGCCAACTAAAATAGCTTCTGTTTTGGAGCTATTAAGTTGCAGGAAGTTTTCTCGCATCCAAGCCTTTATCTCCTCAATGCAGGTGTTAAGGGATGTTGATGGGAACGGTGACGATGATGGTGACAGTGAGGAAGCATGCGGGATAGGGTCTGTCTTTATATATAGCTGCGTGTCATCAGCGTAGCAATGGAATGATATTCCATGCTTGCTGATGACACGGCCAAGGGGCAGAGTGTACAGGGTGAACAGAGTGGGCCCAAGGACCGACCCTTGAGGGACACAACAGGTGACAGGGTGTGTCTGGGACCTCGCACCTCCCAAGGAGACGTACTCTGTTCTTCCAGACAGGTAGGACTGGAACCAGCTCAGGGCGGAGTCAGAGAGTCCGATGGTGTGTTTGAGGCGCTGAAGGAGGATGTTATGGTCGACAGTGTCGAATGCTGCAGTCAGATCCAGGAGGATGAGGAGAGATGGGGATCCAGTATCAGCCGCCATCAACAGGTCGTTTGTGACCCTGACCAGAGCTGTTTCAGTGCTGTGGGCGGAACGGAAACCGGACTGGAATTTTTCAAAGAGGCCGTTTAGCTGTAGATGGTCCTGAAGCTGGGCGGCAACTACTTTTTCCAGCACCTTGGCTAGAAATGGGAGGTTGGAGATGGGCTTGTAGTTGGCGAGGATGTCTGGGTCTAGGGTGGGTTTTTTGAGAAGGGGTCTGATGACGGCAGTTTTAAGAGCCGATGGAACATAACCAGCCTTGAGGGAGCTGTTGATGACGTAGGTGATTATGGGACTTATAGCCAGGGGCGGACTGGCCATTGGGCCGGTACTGAAGTGGGCCGCTCGGACGATCTCACTAGCACCCCCCCCCCCCCGTTTGATAATGTACCGAGGTGGGCCGGCGGTACCGAAGTGGGCCGGTCGTGAGTCCCGGGCTGATTTGTAGTCCCAGTCCGCCCCTGCTTATAGCCGAGATGTTCGATTTGACAAGGGCTGTGGGTAGAGGGTCTAGTGTGCAGGTGGAGGGTTTCATCTTGCAGGTGATGTCCTCAACCTCTTGCTGAGAGATCTCCGTGAAGCAGCAGAGCGGTTGGAAAGTCCCATGCTGTGGGTTAACAGTAGGGACAGACACAGCGCAGGGGGTGGAGAGAAGAGAGCGAATAGTGGCAACTTTTGTCCTGAAGAAAGTAACAAAGTTATTGCACTGCTCTTCTGTAGTGTCGATGTGTGAGGGAGTTTGTGGCTTGAGGAGATGATCAACAGTAGAGAAAAGCTGCTTGGAGTTTCCAGGATTTTTACTGATGATGTCGGAGTAGAATTGTGACCGTGCTTTTTTGAGTGACTTTGAGTAGGTTTTTTGATGTTCCTGATAGGCTAATCTGTGAACAGTGAGTCCAGATCGTGCGAGACGCCGCTCGAGTACACGCCCAGCTGCCTTCATGCTACGCAACTCTGAAGTGAACCAAGGGGCTGAGCGGGAGAAGCTGACTGTTCGTGATTTCAGTGGGGCGTGGAGATCCAGGACAGTACTCAGGGTTTTGTTGTAGTATTCCACTGATTCACTGACTGTAGTGAAATTTGCAGAGGGGGGGATTTGCTGCAGGTCCAAAGTCATGATGTCTGTGTCGATGTGTTTCAGGTTTCTGAAATAGATTTGACGTTTGGGTTTTGGGTTACCACATTTTAGACACATCATGTCTAAAGGTGTCTGAGGCCGGGTTCCCTTCCTGATATCGCCTTAGAAGCATTAGTGGTAGAGAAGGGGATCGCAGGGTGGAGATCCATGATGTCCCGGAGCCCTTATCGACCCAGTATGAGCCCCGTTTTGGCCACACATCTTCGGCACTCCGTCCGCTGCTTATCGTCTTGATGAAGGCGAGCACGAACCGGGCACGAGGCTTGAGGAGTGAGGCCCGCGTGCTCTGGACCCAGGAAAGACTCTCAGCGGGTCACGTGCAGGTCGTTACTAATTAAAAAATAGTTTTCGCAGGCTGGGCAAATCCGGACATAACCCTGGGACACTCGCCTTGATGCTTTTTGGAAGTCTCTCGATGTGAGTACTGAAGAAAAACTTGGATATATTCAACAAAAACAAAAAAAAGACTGATCTCACTCCAATTTATACCCGAGGTGAGACTTGCAGGGGGGCGTGGTCTTATTGCAGTACTGCGCAAGGGATTAACCCACTAGTGACAGCCTTAGAGGGCGGGGCCTATAGGTGCTGGTTGATCTAGAATTTATATTTAATTGCAATTAACATTGTATTAATATACTGTACATCTTATATTGTAATAGTATTGTGTTTCGAATTGATCACTTATTCGATGCTTTCCGTTTTTTCAGAAATGTAGAAGTGGTTTAAAAAATGTTATGTATTCAATGGAAACAAAAAACTGTAACAGCAGCCATTGGCACAATCACCCAAAATGTTCATCCTTTGGCGATAGATAGTGACTAAACAGACATTTAATACAAGTACAATCTTGTAGTTTGCCATTTAAAAAAAAGTACATTTTGAAGTGAAATAAAAAAACATCAAACTGAGTATCTATTGGGGAAAACGTGGAAGTAAATCCTTACATTTAATCTGATTCCCAATAACTGGCATCCAAATTAGCACAAACACTAATGCAACATAAAATTCATATTATATATACAAAATATTTGAATGAAAGCATTTAATACTTTCGTACTTTACATACTTCAGTACACCAATCTGTGTCAGTACCAGAGACTCTTACAGTAGAGACTCTAAATACTGATATACACCTTACTGAACATTAGAGGACTCTTTAAAGTAGTATAGTATAGTAAAGAATATAGTATATAGTATAATATAATATAGTATAGTATAGTAAAGAATATAGTATATAGCATAATATAATATAGTATAGTATAATATAGTATAGTTTATTAAGTTATAGTATAGTAAAGTATAGTAAAGTATAGTATAATATAGTATAGTAGAGTATAGTATTGTATAGTAAAGTATAGTATAGCATAGTAAAGTATTGTATAGTAAAGTATAGTATTGTATAGTAAAGTATAGTATAGTATAGTAAAGTATAGTATAGCATAGTAAAGTATTGTATAGTAAAGTATAGTATTGTATAGTAAAGTATAGTATAGTAAAGTATAGTATAGTATAGTATAGTAAAGTATAGTATAGTATTGTATAGTATAGTAAAGTATTGTATAGTATAGTAAAGTATAATATTGTATAGTATAGTAAAGTATTGTATAGTAAAGTCTCGTCTTGTCTCGTCTCGTCTCGTCCCGTCTCGTCTTGTCTCGTCCCGTCTCGTCTCGGCCTCGTCCGTCTTGTCTCGTCGTCGGCCTTAGTCAAGTCTGTCTCGTCTCGTCCCGTCCCGTCTTGTTGTCCGTCTCTCGCCTCGTCCCGTCTTGTCTCGTCCCGTCTCGTCTCGTCCCGTCTCGTCTCCTCGTCTCGTCTCGTCCTCGTCCCGTCTTGTCTTGTCCCGTCTCGTCTCGCCTCGTCCCGTCTTGTCTCGTCCCGTCTTGTCCCGTCTCGCTCGTCCCGTCTCGTCCCGTCTCGTCTCGTCTCGTCTCGTCCCGGATCTCGTCTCGTCTTGTCTCGTCTCGTCCCGTCTTGTCTCGTCTCGTCCCGTCTCCTCTTGTCTCGTCTCGTCCCGTCTTGTCTCGTCCCTCTCGTCTCGTCTTGTCTCGTCTCGTCCCGTCTTGTCTCTCTCGTCCCGTCTCCTCTTGTCTCGTCTCGTCCCGTCTTGTCTCGTCAAGTATAGTATTGTATAGTAATAGTATAGTAAAGTATAGTATTGTATAAGTATAGTTATAGTATCTAGTATAGTATAGTTATACGTCTAGGATAGTATAGTATAGTATAGTATAGTATCGTATAGATGTATTGTAATATTGCCTTACTACACTAGTAGTAAGTGATTGGGGATCCGCGCGCTCCCCACCATCCTCCTCGCTGATTGGCGAAGAGATGTCGGCCATCTTGGATAGTAGCGGGGAAGACAGATTGATGAAGCGGTAAGATCTTCTTCTTTTATTCCTTTCATTTATATCCTTCTTTTATTCACACGAAACCCGTATTTAAGTGAATACAAACAGCACACTCGGGTAGGGTTTACCACGACACAAGGGGAGGATAAAGCTCTTCTTTAAAGCTGGAGTTTGTGTTCCGCTGTTTCTGTTGTTGTTTTGGAAGCTAATGTTAGCCGACGGAGGCCCAAAACCCGGAGAAAAACACTCCTGTCTTTGGCTCTTATCTCTGCTTGTTACCTTCCTTCACACCCCCAGTTTAATCCCACTTTCCTGGTTCAACAGATCCGCTTAAAACTGTCTCCAAAAGTGGCGTTTATTTGTTGCTGTTAGCCGATTAGCAGTGAGCATTAGCTCCCACGCTAGCGTCCCTATACATTCCTAATGATTAAGCTGCTAGCACAAGCTCACTACTTAGCTATCATGTAGCTCCTGACACAGTTCACACCTAATGCCAGATACAAGCTTTTACTTTAACGGTACTCCGGAACATAATTATAATCAGGATATCTTGGTTAATATGTGAATGTGGGAGGAAAGCTGTGGTGATTTAATGGTGGTTTTAGTTAGGAAGATTATGGGACATAGCATTAGCTCATAAAGCTAACATTAGCCTTTTGCTGCAGCTTTCTTTGAAACGAAAAGAAATGTGAAGCTCAGAAACTACTTTTTACTATTCAATTTCTGTATTTTAATTTGACTGCTGGCCTATCTGCTTAATTGTACCTCTATCCAACCCACTAAGTTCAAGACACTTTTTGTACATCGACTTTTAAATCCATTTGTAACAATACACATGTCTATTGTTGTCGTACTAAGGTGCAGTGGAATTTACAAGGCTTTCATTCAAATAAAACCACGATTTGATTCTATTTTCGCTTTTTTTTCTGCTTATCAAAAAAGTGTGTACCCACATTTGACACTTACGATTATCTTACGTTATTGTATTTTATATGTATTCTTTATTTATTTTTAGAATGAAACCTATGATGATAACACAAAGAAGGAAATAGGAAATCATAAATACTGTTTGAATAAAGTATCCCATAGGCACTTAAATACATATTACTTATGTGTACAATGATCTTTATTGTTGTTGTAATTAGAATAAAAACATCTGTGAAACTACTTTTTGGTTCAGGGGGCTGTTTCTATCCTGAAACACACTGTTTCCAAGTCACACTTTATTAATCATAATAAGCCTGTAAGACACTGTTTAGTGGATAGCAATGCTACACCGTGGGCTAAATGCTATCAGGCTTTGCAGTCAGACTGTCCTGGACTAAGCACAAGTGATGAAGAGAGATGCTGATCATAAAGTGAAGGGTTATAATGTGCACACTTTGTCTCACTCTTTCACATATAGATCATTAAAGAATAATGCACAAAAACATATGTTATGATGGTTATTTTCATCATTCATATGTCTGTAGCTTTTTAACAGATGCCAGACTGGTGAAACCGTTTGTTCTAAAATCTACAGACAATAATTGTTTGTGTGTAGCCTTTATTTAACCAGGTGAAAAATCCCATTGAGATCAACGATCTCTTTTTCAAGGGAGACCTGTGGAAAAATTATAACAATGTTCCCAGAGTTTTTGTGTTACCATCCAGGAAAAGTGGTGCTCATTTCCCCTCAAACACAAGGGGAAGAAATTGTGATTTGGTTGCATTTATTTATTTGTTCAGACGAGTCTGATGTTGCAGGATAATCTGTGGTCAGTGCTCTTCAAATAAGATGCTGAAGCTTCATTTAAAATCACAAAATGTACACTTTTTCCAAACCTACTCTCTGTATACTTACACAAAAAGTTATGTGCTTAAGGAGTTAGAGTAACCATGGTTTGGCTTATATAGGCGCTGCTGTGCCCATCTTCAAAATTATTAATAATCACTGTGCCTCAAAGAAAAGCGGATTATCTGAGCAAGTAGATTAATTCAGCAGCATTTTGGGACAGTCTTTAACATCTAAGTTAAACAGACAACAAACATCGGTTTTATCTGCTTTATTAAATGTATTTGCTTTGTTTTAACTTAGATTTTGTGACACAATGTGAGCATAATACCGGTTTGTGTTTGCAGACTTAAAATGTTGAGAGTTTAAAAAAAGAACGACTTAATGTGACTTTATTCTCAAAGATGTAGGCATGCGTTTGGGCTTGCAGAGTAATGTGTTTGCTCCTGATAACAGCGGACGTTTGAATCTGAGTGTCCTGTGTTTTTATTTCTCAGGTGACACACGGTATGTTTGGTGCTAACCGGAAGAAGTTTATGGAGGGAGGGATAGAGAGCGATTACGCGGACGACTCCAGTCTCTACTACACCCAGCAGTCCATGTTCCCTCCTCACCGCCCTGACAAAGACGTAAATAAACTGTTCAAATATTCCTCAGGGATTTGATTAAAACTGCATCTGTTTGTTTACTACTATTTACAAAACCCCCAAACAGTACCAGCTTAGTTGTTTTTAACTTGGAGAAAGTTGTTGCAAGGCGAGACTGTACTTCCATTATTTCTGGTTCAGTTGCATTATGGATTTCTTTCACCATGGTGCGTTATTTTCTAATTTAGAGAGTCACAAAGTAAAACAAAAATACTAAGAAATTATGTTTCAACGCTTCAGCTGCCATTGTATTATTTCCCCCTTATCTTTGTTTTTCATTTTTACTTACAACCCAACGTTAGTCCTATTTTTAAGCAACGTCTTTCCACTTCTTTTGAGATAACATTATTCATTTGAGACGTTTGACTTATTTTGGTAAAATTATTAAAACATTTCTTTAGGAAAACAAGTTGGTATTTTATAAGAAAGGAGTAATAACCGTTTTTTGTACTGTTTATCGACAACTGCAGGGTGGACAGGTGGACATACCTTTGTGTTTCATAAATAAAATATATTGTGTTTCTTTTCTCTCCAGATGCTGACGTCTTCCTCTGCTTCCTCAACGGGTCAACTGTCACAGCTAGGAGCCAGTTTATATGGCCCGCAGAGTAAGACTCTTTAAAGTAGAGACACTACATACTGATATACACCTGAACACCAGCAGGAGAGGACTCTTTAAAGTAGAGACACTACATACTGATATACACCTGAACATCAGCAGGAGAGGACTCTTTAAAGTAGAGACACTACATACTGAAATACACCTGAACACCAGCAGAGAGGACTCTTTAAAGTAGAGACACTACATACTGATATACACCTGAACATCAGCAGGAGAGGACTCTTTAAAGTAGAGACACTACATACTGATATACACCTGAACACCAGCAGGAGAGGACTCTTTAAAGTAGAGACACTACATACTGATATACACCTGAACATCAGCAGGAGAGGACTCTTTAAAGTAGAGACACTACATACTGATATACACCAGAACATCAGCAGGAGAGGACTCTTAAAGTAGAGACACTACATACTGATATACACCTGAACATCAGCAGGAGAGGACTCTTTAAAGTAGAGACACTACATACTGATATCCACCTGAACATCAGCAGGAGAGGACTCTTTAAAGTAGAGACACTACATACTGATATACACCTGAACATCAGCAGGAGAGGACTCTTAAAGTAGAGACACTACATACTGATATACACTGAACATCAGCAGGAGAGGACTCTTTAAAGTAGAGACACTACATACTGATATACACCTGAACATCAGCAGGAGAGGACTCTTTAAAGTAGAGACACTACATACTGATATACACCTGAACATCAGGAGGAGAGGACTCTTTAAAGGAGAGACACTACATACTGATATACACCTGACATCAGCAGGAGAGGACTCTTTAAAGTAGAGACACTACATACTGATATACACCTGAACATCAGCAGGAGAGGACTCTTTAAAGTAGAGACACTACATACTGATATACACCTGAACATCAGCAGGAGAGGACTCTTTAAAGTAGAGACAACTACATACTGATATACACCTGAACATCAGCAGGAGAGGACTCTTTAAAGTAGAGACACTACATGCTGATATACACCTGAACATCAGCAGGAGAGGACTCTTTAAAGTAGAGACACTACATACTGATTTACACCTGAACATCAGCAGGAGAGGACTCTTTAAAGTAGAGACACTACATACTGATATACAACCTGAACATCAGCAGGAGAGGACTCTTTAAAGTAGAGACAACTACATACTGATATACACCTGAACATCAGCAGGAGAGGACTCTTTAAAGTAGAGACACTACATGCTGATATACACCTGAACATCAGCAGGAGAGGACTCTTTAAAGTAGAGACACTACATACTGATTTACACCTGAACATCAGCAGGACCCCCTTTTAGTTTATTTAATGTAATACACATCTGCAGCTGATAAAAGTATATCAGTATAAACATGTTTTCTCTCTCTCTCTGTATCTTTAGGCGCTCTGGGGTTTCCCATGCGTGGGATGAACAGCAGTGCAGCGCCGCAGTTAAGTCGAAGTGGATTAAACCAACCAGGAAGCCAACTCCCGAGCCACGGCAGCACAGCGAACACCGGCACGATGCACACACCCCCCTCACCCAGCAGGTAACACACACAAACACACACACACACACACACACACACACACACCCTAAATATATGATATAACACATTAGCGTTGTATCACGTCTAATGAACCTTTAAACTCGTAGATACACAACTCAAGCTGGCCTTCCTGCATCATATAAGATATATATATATATATATACATATAAGATTTTATAGACTTTATTGATCCTAATTTGGGAACTTTTTTCCTCACCGCAGCATGTCAGAGCAAGGTACTGCACATAATGTGAACATAAAAAGAGTAGATGATAAACCAACGTAAATATAAACATCACGAAATAGAAATAAAACTGAACTAAAGAGTAAAATATCTACTTGTAGACTAACTAAACCCTATGGATGGCCGAATCACAGTTAACACAATTGAAACCCTTATTACTTATCGTATCTGCACAAACAAGATATCGATTAGCAAGCTGAGATTCCACAGATTCTACTGGTATTGGTATCATCACTGAGCGATCATCACTGAGCGATCATCACTGAGCGATCATCACTGAGCGATCATCACTGAGCGATCATCACTGAGCGATCCTCACTGAGCGATCTTCACTGAGCGATCATCGCTGAGCGATCATCACTGAGCGATCCTCGCTGAGCGATCATCGCTGAGCGATCCTCGCTGAGCGGTCATCGCTGAGCGGTCATCGCTGAGCGATCATCGCTGAGCGATCAGAACTGAGCGATCAGAACTGAGCGATCAGAACTGAGCGATCCTCGCTGAGCGATCATCGCTGAGCGATCATCGCTGAGCGATCATCGCTGAGCGATCCTCGCTGAGCGGTCATCGCTGAGCGGTCATCGCTGAGCGATCATCGCTGAGCGATCCTCGCTGAGCGGTCATCGCTGAGCGATCATCGCTGAGCGATCATCGCTGAGCGATCAGAACTGAGCGATCCTCACTGAGCGATCCTCACTGAGCGATCCTCACTGAGCGATCCTCACTGAGCGATCAGAACTGAGCGATCAGAACTGAGCGATCCTCACTGAGCGATCAGAACTGAGCGATCAGAACTGAGCGATCAGAACTGAGCGATCAGAACTGAGCGATCAGAACTGAGCGATCAGAACTGAGCGATCATCACTGAGCGATCAGAACTGAGCGATCAGAACTGAGCGATCAGAACTGAGCGATCAGAACTGAGCGATCCTCACTGAGCGATCAGAACTGAGCGATCAGAACTGAGCGATCAGAACTGAGCGATCAGAACTGAGCGATCAGAACTGAGCGATCATCACTGAGCGATCAGAACTGAGCGATCATCACTGAGCGATCATCACTGAGCGATCATCACTGAGCGATCCTCACTGAGCGATCCTCACTGAGCGATCCTCACTGAGCGATCCTCACTGAGCGATCAGAACTGAGCGATCATCACTGAGCGATCATCACTGAGCGATCATCACTGAGCGATCAGAACTGAGCGATCATCACTGAGCGATCCTCACTGAGCGATCCTCACTGAGCGATCCTCACTGAGCGATCCTCACTGAGCGATCAGAACTGAGCGATCAGAACTGAGCGATCAGAACTGAGCGATCATCACTGAGCGATCATCACTGAGCGATCATCACTGAGCGATCAGAACTGAGCGATCATCACTGAGCGATCCTCACTGAGCGATCCTCACTAAGCGATCAGAACTGAGCGATCATCACTGAGCGATCCTCACTGAGCGATCATCACTGAGCGATCAGAACTGAGCGATCATCACTGAGCGATCCTCACTGAGCGATCCTCACTAAGCGATCCTCACTGAGCGATCCTCACTGAGCGATCCTCACTGAGCGATCATCACTGAGCGATCAGAACTGAGCGATCATCACTGAGCGATCAGAACTGAGCGATCCTCACTGAGCGATCATCACTGAGCGATCAGAACTGAGCGATCATCACTGAGCGATCAGAACTCGCGGCGAAATGACAACACCAACAAAATTAGCTTTACAGAACCAAATCGGAAAATAAGTCTTGCCGTTGCTGTTATTCTGATCAAAAGTCGTGTTCAATGGCATTAAAACGTTAATCCATAGGTTAATCCAATGTGTCTGTCACTTTGAAATGATTTCTGATAATCCATCAGCATATTTATGTCAATAACGGAGTTTTCATATTAGCTGCTACGATAGCCACCAGAGTGCATCGCAGCTTCCGGTTCCGGGGCATTCTGGCTACGCATCACTCATTCACCAATGGGTAATGTTTAGATGGATTTTTAGGAACTTCCCCTTGATTCTATTGGCTCTAACGGGTTAAAAAAAATATGTCAATCATCCAAATCGACAAAGGGGTTCCAGAGATATGGAAAATCCACCCAAATGACCCCAGAAGTGTTTTTCTTTGCTAAATCTCTCTAAAAAGGTCAAATGTCACTTGTTTTGCATCAATCTTGATACAGGATACTTATTATATGTTATAGTTTGGATTCCTAAAGCTTTTAGTCTCCTATCCCATCATCCAAGGGTAGTTTTCACTATAAGTAATGTTTTGGACGGACACTATAATTTAAATGTTTTTACAATGTTCAATCTGAATTGACTTTAAAATAAAAAAACATCTATATTGATTCTCACTTTTCTAAATCCAACTCACAGGTTTATCATTACTTTGAGAATAAAGATTATTAATTTAACCCTTTTAGAAGGGAAGATATGGTCATTTGTTCTGGGAAAGTCATTTTCGAGCCTGAGACCTGAAAAACAGGCTCGGGGCTGAACAGGTTAATGTTGTTTCCGTTTTAATATTTTAATTCAACTTTTTGTTTTTCTATTTATTTCTTTTTTATCACCACTGTAAAGTGTCTTTGAGCACCTGAAAAAGCACTTAGAAATCAAATGTATTATTATTATTAAAAATGTGAAGACAAGTCCAGTTATAAATTATATTATTCTATTAGTCCCGTAAACCTCCATATTTCACATCCTGCTGCCCCTCCTCACGTTGCTTCTCCCTCGTCTCTCTGCAGGGGGATTCTGCCGATGAACACCCGGAGCGTCCTGAACCACAGCCAGCAGGTCGGGGGTCCCACGGCGCAGTCGGGGGGGATGGGGGGTGTGGGAGTGGAGAGGGGGGGGGGCGGCAGGAGCAGCAGCATGGGCAGTCCCAGCCGGTCGTCACCCAGCATCATCGGGATGCCCAAACAGCAGCAAGCACGGCAGCCCTTCACCATAAACAGGTCCTTTGACTATATCTATGCATTCATCCTTTACTTGTTGAGTTTCGGCTGATTATTTACTTCTATTATTCTCATTTTGTTTTCTATACTTCACTTTTTTATAGTTTCATTTTAGTTATTTAATATGTGCTTTCCATGTGAGCAGCTTTTAAAGCAAAGTTTTAGGATAAACAACAACAAATATGGATGAAAGCTTAATATTTAATTAAATAAAAGCATGTTTTAAAAGTCTTATTAATTGATGCACTGTTTCTTTAAGATTAAAGTATCAAACTAATCCTTTATTGTGTCTCTGTTTGTGTGTCAGTATGTCGGGGTTTGGTGTGAACAGGAATCCAGGATACAACATGAACAGCTCCCTATCCAACAACATCTTCAACGGCACAGGTACATCAAAAGAAACGCATTGAATACCATTGTTTTGTATTTCCTTTCCTTTCCTTTGGCTGTTACACACATGAAGATACTTTGTGTGTGTGTGTGTGTGTGTGTGTGGTGTGTGTGTTGTGTGTGTGTGTGTGTGTGTGTGTGTGTGGGTGTGTGTGTGTGTTGTGTGTGTGTGTGTGTGTGTGTTGTGTGTGTGTGTGTGGTGTGTGTGTGTGTGTGTGTGTGTGTGTGTGTGTGTGTGTGTGTGTGTGTGGTGTGTGTGTGTGTGGTGTGTGTGTGTGTGTGGTGTGGTTGTGTGTGTGTGTGTGTGTGTGTGTGTGTGTGTGTGTGGGTGTGTGTGTGTGTGGTGTGTGTTGTGTGTGTGTGTGTGTGTAGACGGCAGTGAGAATGTGACGGGGTTGGATCTGTCGGACTTCCCCGCGTTAGCGGATCGGAGTCGGAGGGACGGAGGCTCGAATCCCACACCGCTCCTCAACCCGCTGGCCGGTCGGGCTCCGTACGGTAAGAGAAAGCAGTGTGTGTGTGTGTGTTAGCAAACCAAAAACACACTTTAATATCATTACTTGTTTCAATTTAGAGCCTATATCTGTACAATATAGTCAAATTAAAAGCCACCTTTTCTAAACTCTGCTTCAGTAATGTCATAAAAGATTAAAAGAAGACACAGATAAAGCAAAATAATGTATTTACCCCGTTGAGAAAGTGGGGTTGGTATCAGTTACTCCATTACAAACAATTATATAAACATAATTATAAAAAGAGAAAGTGAAAATGTCAAATTTAAGATAAAACAAAATATATATATATATAAGAAGAGAAAGTTTAAATGTGCAAAGTAAAGTAGAATAAAATGTGTTTCTAAATATTAAAAGATGTAATGACATAATAGAAATGTGGAGAAATGTGTACAATTACCACCCAAGAGAAACTGGGATCTTTTTTTAATTGTGACTCTAATGTTTTTATCGTATCCCATTATTGCGTTGCAGTCGTTGCGTCGCTAACCACGCTATCCTCCATGTTTCCAGTTGGCATGGTAACGAAGCCATCCAATGAGCAGTCTCAGGATTTCTCGATTCACAACGAGGATTTCCCGGCTCTCCCCGGGCCCAACTACCAATCAAAAGACCCCAGCAGCACCAGCGAAGACAGCAAAACGGTTAGACTCCTTACTCCTTTAAATATATTTTGTTTACTTTTTCTGTTTGTGTTTGTTTGTCGAAACTAAACTAAATTAACGAAAATTAACTTGGTGTGAATCGAGTGTTAATCTGTTTTTCATCACGGTGTCTTTTCCTTACTTGTGCAGCGCTCTCACGTCCTGACTCGTCCCATTTTTTCGGACTGTTTTTTCCCTCCGTTTTTGTCCAATCAGAATCTGAACTCGTCGGGTAAGCCCGCCTCCAACTCAGACGGTCCAAAGTTCCCCGGAGACAAGAGCTCCGCGCCTAGCAACAACAACCAGCAGAAGAAAGGGATTCAGGTGCTTCCTGATGGTGAGACCAAAGAAAAATAATACATATTTCAAGTCATGTGACCGTGCTGTAGTTCCTTTATAGCCCAACATTAGCCACCTTTAGCTTAGCGGTGGTGACGTGAAGTCATGTGACCGTGCTGTCGTTCCTTTATAGCCCAACATTAGCCACCTTTAGCTTAGCGGTGGTGACGTGAAGTCATGTGACCGTGCTGTAGTTTCTTTATAGCCCAACATTAGCCGCCTTTAGCTTAGCGGTGGTGACGTGAAGTCATGTGACCGTGCTGTAGTTCCTTTATAGCCCAACATTAGCCACCTTTAGCTTAGCGGTGGTGACGTGAAGTCATGTGACGTGCTGTAGTTCCTTTATAGCCCAACATTAGCCACCTTTAGCTTAGCGGTGGTGACGTGAAGTCATGTGACCGTGCTGTAGTTCCTGTATAGCCCAACATTAGCCGCCTTTAGCTTAGCGGTGGTGACGTGAAGTCATGTGACCATGCTGTAGTTCCTTTATAGCCCAACATTAGCCACCTTTAGCTTAGCGGTGGTGACGTGAAGTCATGTGACGTGCTGTAGTTCCTTTATAGCCCAACATTAGCCACCTTTAGCTTAGCGGTGGTGACGTGAAGTCATGTGACCGTGCTGTAGTTCCTGTATAGCCCAACATTAGCCAGCCCTTTAGCTTAGCGCTGGTGACGTGAAGTCATGTGACCGTGCTTGTAGTTCCTTTATAGCCCAACATTAGCCGCCTTTAGCTTAGCGGTGGTGACGTGAAGTCATGTGACCGTGCTGTAGTTCCATTATAGCCCAACATTAGCCACCTTTAGCTTAGCGGTGGTGACGTGAAGTCATGTGACCGTGCTGTAGTTCCTTTATAGCCCAACATTAGCCGCCTTTAGCTTAGCGGTGGTGACGTGAAGTCATGTGACCGTGCTGTAGTTCCATTATAGCCCAACATTAGCCACCTTTAGCTTAGCGGTGGTGACGTGAAGTCATGTGACCGTGCTGTAGTTCCTTTATAGCCCAACATTAGCCGCCTTTAGCTTAGCGGTGGTGACGTGAAGTCATGTGACCGTGCTGTAGTTCCATTATAGCCCAACATTAGCCACCTTTAGCTTAGCGGTGGTGACGTGAAGTCATGTGACCGTGCTGTAGTTCCTTTATAGCCCAACATTAGCCACCTTTAGCTTAGCGGTGATGACGTGAAGTCATGTGACCGTGCTGTAGTTCCTTTACAGCTTTATAACGTTCGCTTTTCCTCTCTTTTTTTTTGCAGGGCGGGTGACCAACATCCCGATCGGCATGGTAACGGATCAGTTTGGGATGATCGGCCTGCTGACGTTCATCCGGGCGGCAGAGACCGACCCCGGCATGGTGCACCTGGCTCTGGGCTCCGACCTCACAACGCTGGGCCTCAACCTCAACTCCCCGGAGTACGATGAGACCCCAAAGCTTTTTCATGTTTTTATTTAACAATGTGTTTCAAAATCTAATAAGAATCTCTTTCTCAATTTGTCTCAGGAATCTTTATCCTAAGTTTGCGTCTCCCTGGGCGTCGGCTCCGTGTCGACCGCAGGACATAGGTGAGTATAGTTTCATTTATATGTGATTTATTTGGGATAATTATGGAGTGTTTGACCTCGTTTTGCTTCCTCTTCTCTCCGCAGACTTTCACGTCCCCTCAGAGTATTTAACCAACATCCACATAAGGGACAAGGTACGTACCTCAAATAAACACCGGAAAGTAATTCAGTGTTTCATGTTTGAGCATCTCTGTCAATTATACCACATTTTTATCAGTTCTTCCATCAATGATTAACTGTACATAGATGCTGAAGAACTAGTTAATATTTACAGGAAATTAACCCTGATTTTTACCTGAATGTACCATGCAGAGGTGGGAGTAAGTCCTACATGTGCAAGTCATGAGCAAGTCTCAAGTCTTGACCTACAAGTATCAAGCAAGTCCCAAGTCACTGTGGTGAGAGTCAAGCAAGTCAAGTCATACGAAATTCTGATGAATAAGCCCAGTTTCCACATTTAATAAAATAAACGAGGCATCTCTTTTCCTCTCTCTCTCTCTCTCTCTCCTCTCTCTCTCTCTCTCTCTCTCTCTCTCTCTCTCTCTCTCTCTCTCTCTCCCTCTCCTGACAGCCCGTCAGTATCAGGGTTAGTCAAAATGAATCCCTTGGCGGTTCTAGTGTTCATTTACCGTTTTGTCTTCTCTTTGCTTAATCGATTTGAAACCAAGTCTGACGTAGCTTAAACTTAACGTTAGCTTCCTAGCTAACACAACACATTCACGCAGCTTTCTCTGTGGGTTTTTTGTAGTGACGAATGAAGTTGGATGTTGTGGTGGTCGTGTCACTGATCTTTATGCTGCAGACCCTGCATACCGCTGTTCTCTTCTTATTAGCGTCATCGACAACATAATCCTTGAATCCAAACTTCACTATTTGTGGAGTAACGCTAGCCGCTGCCATGTTAACTGACACTCCTGCCGTCTAGTGGGTTGCCAGGTTTGCGCGCACGGCGCTATAATCACCCAATCACGTTTTTCGAAAAAACTAAACGTAATATCTCACTACAAAAACAAACGCAAATATTTAATTTTAAACAGTCAAGTCCTTTCAAGTAATCTGTCTCAAGCTTAAGTCAAGTCTCAAGTCATGAATACCAAGTCAAAGTCAAGTCAAGTCTTTTATCAATGTTAGTCAAGCAAGTCTCAAGTCCAAAAATATGCGACTCGAGTCTGACTCGAGTCAAGTCATGTGACTCGAGTCCCCACCTCTGGTACCTAGTAAATAATAAGAAAATGATTGGTATTGGTAAAAAATGTAAAATGACTTAGTGTTTTAGTGTTCAGTTAATTTAATCTATTATTTACTGTATAATAAATGCACTAGATGTCGTAAATCATATGTTAAACCTGTTCCCCTGTTCTTTTCATGTCTCCAGTTAGCAGCTATCAAGTTGTCGCGGTATGGAGAAGATCTGCTGTTTTACCTCTACTACATGAACGGAGGAGACCTACTACAACTTCTGGCTGCAGTAGAACTGTGAGACACAAAAACACAAATAACAATAAACTGGAAAAAACATAACAATTAAAGGGAGGCGTGTGGCGCAGTGGACTAGTGCGTTGGTGTTGGGATCAAGGGAGCACAGGTTCAAACCCCACTGCAGTCAGCATGTCGTTGTGTCCCTGAGACACTTCACCCCAAAGTGCTCCTGTGGGGATTGTCCACAGTATTGAGTATGTAAGTCTCTTTGGATAAAAGCGTCTAACATGTAATGTAAGGTGGCCCTCTTGTAAACATGTAAATGGTCGGCAAAGGCTGAAATACCAAAGTTACGGAACATAGTGACATCACTACGGAACACTCGCGCTCCTATTGGCTGGCGCTCCAACACATTGTAACACATCTCTATGCGGTTGACCAATCACAACAGAACAGTTTAAACACTCAATCAAAACAATTATTAGATGGGATTTTTTTTTTCAGCAGTCCTTTTTACGTGTGTGTGTGTATGTGTGTGTGTGTGTGTGTGTGTGTGTGTGTGTGTAGGTTTAACAGGGACTGGCGGTACCATAAGGAGGAGCGGGTTTGGATCACTCGGGCTCCGGGGATGGAGCCCACGCTGAAGACCAACGCCTACGAGAGAGGGACCTACTACTTCTTCGACTGCCTCAACTGGAGGAAGGTGGCGAAGGTAGAAAACATTAAAAAAGTTGTTTATTTATTCCTGACACACAATCATGTCCACACGTATGTACTGTCTATTCTAAACTCAGCTTTAATGTGAGAGAAAATCTGTGTTTTTTAATGTTACTTTAATCTTAACATTTTCTACTTTTATTTCTTGGAGATTTAAATATATTCTTTTTTCACTTTAATCTCAGAATATTAACATTTATATCTTGAGATTTCTCTTTTAAATATAGCCCGTAAATCTCAGTAATAATCTTTTTGTTATTGTTGAGTTTCACACATCGAAGTTATTCTCATCGTTTTTTCTCTAAAACATACGACTTGAATCTTGGAATCTGAAATTCCCATTTATTCCTAATTAATAAATGTCGACCCTCATCCTCTGTTTCATAAATCTGACTTCCTCTCCGTGTGTTTTCAGGAGTTTCACCTGGAGTATGAAAAACTAGAAGAGCGGCCTCACGTTCCCTCCACGTTCAACTACAATCCCGCCCAGCAGGCCTTCTGATTGGCTCTACCTCCTCCTCCTGCCTGCTTGCCTGCCTGCCATTGGTCCTCCTGGCTGTCAATCATCACCTCCTAGCCCCGGCCCCTTTTAGGTTTCTCCACCTGCACACACTCACAGTGAATCTGGCCAGGAGAGGACTTCCTGCTCTCTCTAAACACTGATAGACTTTATGATTTTAACTTTGGTTTGTTCCTTACCTCATTCTCTGTTTACTTTTTATTTTATTTCCCAACCCCCCCCCTCCATGTGGACTTAACGCCAGCACAGTACAACACACACACACACACACACACTGTAAATAACTGTCCATCTGATCCTGTGATTCCTCTTAAAAAATTGACTATTTTTGTCGAGAGAAGCTTTTAAAAAAACGGATTTTAAACAATAAAATCACCTGTCAGGTGGATAATTATTTCACACACTGTGTCACAGCTCTCTGATCTTTGGCAGGAACAATATCCCCAGCAGCATTACACACACACACACACACACACAGACATCAGCAGACAGCGGAGAGTCAGGAGAGGAAATGCAATGTACATTGTAGCACTATTTCATAATAAAAAAAGAAAAAATATCCTTTTTTGGTTTGTTCATATCATGTGAAGATTCGTGTTAATTTTAAAGATTTTTTTTGTTTATTTTTTAATTAATGAGGTCAAGTTTAGCAGCCAGAAACACAAAGAGTCACTGAGCGGGATGTTTGACATTTAAAATGATTTGCACTTGTTTTTTGAACATCCTTTAAAACGTGGGATGTGTCATAATGCCTCTGATTGGTGGATTAAAGTAACAGAACAAATGTTTAAATGTTAGCACATCCCTTTCACATGGACGCAGCTCTTTCCCAGTTTTCACCTTTTAATTTCATTTTTATTTCCATTATTAAAGCTCCCTGTTTCTCCTCCTGTTTCTAATTGTTATATTTAAGTTCTACTCCTTTTCCACCTCCCACATTAAATATCTTTTTTTTTCTGCCCGGCAACAGTCTGGACCAATCAGAATGCAGGAGTGACCTTTCACGAGAACTTACTGACATTTTTGAGAAATTCTCTTTCATGTCGATAGTTAAACTCTCCAGTCTGTACGCTAACTATGAATCTAGCACCAGGACATATTAGCTTAGCATGAAGACTACTTTTTACTTTTTATACAAATTAAACAAATACAGTTAATCAGCCTTATAGTTGCTGGTAGGTGGATTTTGTTAGCGCTAAGCTAGCTTTTTCCTCCTGTTTCGAGTCTTTATGCTAAGCTAAGTTAGCCGGTTGTAGCTTTATTTTTACCATACAGACATGAGAAAGATAATAAACAACATTCCCTAACCTTTACTTTTAGGCCACGTCTACGAGTATACAGATATTTTGAGATGGCTTATATTTTTTACGCGGTGTTAAGAAATAGTCAAATAGTCATTTTTAAGATATTTCAAGACTGGAGCTTTGATGATAATTTTTAGACGTTTCACGTACACGAAGATTATCAATTAATTGAAAAACATACGGTAAATTAGTAGAAAAATAAAACAACATTTTCCAGGTAATATCTGTATACACGTAGACATGCCTTTAAAGTTATCGACACTCAAAACCAACATAAAAATCCCATTTTCTTTACGTTAAATACCACATTTTTTTACTTTTGAATTCCCTCCAGGAGGCACCAATGTACATGTATGTGTATATATATATTTAAATATATATACACATACACATAAGGCAGTATTTTTAAGAAGTCTGATTCGAGGAGTGCTCCCCCTGCTGGTAAACGATGCAATACTTCCACCAGGAGACGGTTTTTATAGGGGACCAGACTCGACTCCGCCCACAATCCACCACAGCCAATCAGTGGCGACCACCGGTTTTTGCTCCCATTCACAGTGCAGCAGCAAAAAAAAGCCAAGGACACGCCCACTGAACCCCATGTGACCCGCTCTATAGGAGATCTGATTGGAGGACGAGGACTGAGGCACTTGGCCGTTTTTGGCTGTTTTATTAAATATGGCAGCTAGTGTTTTAATAGGAAAAAAGAATAAAATATTCTGGTAATGAAACTGAAGGAGGACTCGTGTGTTGTTATTACGAGGTTGTGTTTGTTTGTTTGTTGGTCTGTGTGGTTGTTAATTTATTTGTTTATATTAAGCGTCTTTGAGCAAAAGCGCTATACAAATCCCATGTATTATTATTATTATTATTTGTCATTATTATTGGATCAGAAACATTTCGTTTGTCACAGCTACAGCTTTTTTGTTAGTTTGTTTATTTTGCTAGGTTTTTGCTTTTTTGTTGGTTTGTTTGTTTGTTTGTGGGTCGATAAAGAAACCGTACAGTTTTGAATCTGATCTGACTGATGCAGGAACTACTTTTCTTTCTGAAAATAGTATTGGTGGAGGTCGCCATTCATGAATTCACCTTCTAGTTGTTCTTTATTATTGTGCGTGAAGCTTTTTTTGCAGGACTGAAAAGTTACTGAAGAAGATTTCCTCCTGTTTTCGACTTCTCGTCTTCATCGCTTCTCAAAAAGATGATTACCTGGAAACTGAACTACAACACAGGTAAGTCTTCATCAAATGTTGGCACTGTTATTTATGGTTTTATTCTCACCCTTTTTGGTTAAGCTCTTTGGTTTCCAGGCGCCTGTTGGGGGTTAGTGGGAAAGATGGATATGTTCTGTTCACAAACATTAGCATGGATTTCATCTTGGAACACGTCTCAGTCGCTGCCGCTTCATTCAGTGGGAATCTGATGCCTTTTTTTTTACATCAAATTGTTGCATTTTATGGCCCAAACATTTGGATTATTGTGTTTCAGTAGTTCCTCCACATGAGGGCACACACACATACTCACACACACTCATGCACATGCACACACACGCACACTACATTTATTCCATAAGGATCAAATTGTTGTTTTACTAAATAGACCTGGAAATCAGCTGTGATGACTTTATTATGGATTTACATGTTTACCATTTTGGTTATTTGGTATAGTAAGACAATTTAGTGTTCCGTCAACAAACTTGTAAAGCAACCGTCTTGAGAAGCGTTAAGTTAACTCCCAGAAGTATTGA